CACAAACAGTTTGTGTGTGTGTGTGTGTGTGTGTGTGTTAGAGAAAGAGAGTGATATGAGGAGCTCCAAGTATCTATGATATCACTGCACGAGGTGGACATGCCCTCTTTTGTTCTATGCCTCTGGCAAGACTTCAAGCTGAGATGTAATAGTTTGGGCTGTCAGGTGCATGCGGGTGCTTGTGTGTGTGTTTGTGTATGAGTCAGTGCTATAACACAATGTTTGTACTGTGGGGGTTTGTAGACAGATGGTTGTCTGCCTATTCCACTGTGGCAGCAATACATCCATCTCTCAAAAACTTTTCTTCCAACTTTCTCTTCTCTGGGGTTTGCCAGTCTGAATACTAACAATATGTTCTTCTTGTCTATGGTCTTCCAGTTCAAATTATATACCCTTTTAATTAATCTGTTAATGTATTAATATGCAATTGTAAGTGAGGCACTGTCAGTGATACAAGTGGGAAAAAAATGAAAAAACTAGTGATGATTCTTAATTAACTTAAATTTCATAGACTTTGTTTTTTGTTAATAAGAATAATTTAAAAGACCATAATTTAATGTGACAACATAGCAATGGTGGGTGTGGCAACTCATAACCGTTCTTCTAATTTTAACCTAAGAGTGCATTTAAATCGGATTCTGAATAAAAATTGCAGGAAATACAAAGTAGTCCAAACCCAGTATCACAGAAAAAAATGTTCACATACAACATATCTGCAGCACCTTATATACAGTAAATATTAACATTTTGGCACAGGTATATGTTGCAGAGCAATGTGTCTAACTTTCACTTGAATGCTCTGTATGCCACATCCTGCACCAACCATGCACAAAATTTGTGCTATTCATGCATGGTGTTCATGCTTGTGGACAGTTGATATTAGTCTATTTTAAGGCAAATTAGATTTGATGTATCCTCCAAACAAATAGATGGCAGAATCATGAGACCCTTTGGTTAGCAGTTCTAAATTTTGTTGGTTGTTTTTTTGAGTGCTGAGGTTTTGAATCCAAGATGGCTGACAGTACCAAAATTGTAGCAAATGTCTCTGGTATATGTGTTCATGCAGAAAATGTGTGTATTCTCAAAAGCCTAAAGAATTTACAGCCTAAAAACTATCCACATTTGGAAAATACCCACATTACCATACAGCTTTACCACGTGATTAGGAAGGCTGATTGTGTTTGCTGAGAGGAGAAGTTTCATGAACCCTAATGTAATCATATATCATGAAAAGAGATTTTACCTGTGAAGTCGACTTCACTCAATATGTTAAAAAAAAGGAGGTAAAATAATTATTATATATCAGTCAAATAGCTTGGTTGAAATATATCAGTGCAGAATGTGGCATGCAGAGCATGAAAGTTTGATATGTTGCTATGCAATGTATGCTTGTGACAGAAGGTTGACATTCAGCGTATAGAACATGTTGCAAATAAGTTGCATGCAAATGTTTTTTCTCTGAGACCGGGTAATGGGTAAAATGGATAGTTTTAAATGTCATCATGAAGAGGTTCCCGTTACCAGGCACGTACAACTCCTGCTAGAAACAGAAATCCATTCTTTACATTCTTGATAAACTTGTAAAAAAAAAAAAGGGGGGGGGGGGGGGGGGGGGGGGCATATTTAAATCAGTTTTAAGAACAACAACATCAAAAAGAATTTATAAGCTCTCTTGGGTAGCATTTTCTAAACAGTCACATGATTGGCGTAAATTCAACCTGAGAAAGTATATGAGTATGATTTCTTGTTCTGTAAACAATGCACTTTTATTTATATAATGACAATTGACAATTTATTTGTATAGCACAATTAATTACAACTTCCGTTGAACAACGTGCTTTCCAGCAAGTCATCAAAAACAGAAAAACACACAACAAACAAACAGAAAAGTTATAAAAACATACAAATATCCCATCAGCCATACGCTTTAGAAAATAAAAATGTCTTAAGCCTGGACTTAAAAATATTAAGAGAAGAAGCTTGTCTAACAGATAGTGGTAAGGCGTTCCAGAGCCTGGGGGCTGCAATACAGAAAGCACGATCTCCCCTACACTTAAGCCTCGACTTAGGGGTAAACAATAGATCCTGGTTGGAAGACCGAAGGGATCTAGTGGGTTGATACTCCGTCAATAACTCACAGAGATAAGTAGGGGCCAAACCATTTAGAGATTTGTAAACGAGGAGCAAAATTTTAAAATCCACTCTAAAACGAACAGGCAGCCCGTGTAGTGAGCGTAGAATAGGAGTAATATGCTCCCTCTTTTTAACCCCACTCAGAAGTCGAGCCGCAGCATTTTGAACAAGCTGCAAACGGGATAAAGCTGTCTGGCTAATCCCAAAATAAAGTGAGTTGCAGTAGTCCAGCCTAGATGAAATAAAAACGTGAATTACTTTTTCAAAATCTTTAAAAGAGAGAAAAGGCTTTACTTTAGAAAGCAAACGCAGCTGAAAAAAGCAAGCTTTGACAACTGAATTTATTAGACGGTCAAACTTTAAGCCATCATCAAAAATAAAACCCAGGTTTTTTACCCATGGTTTCAAGCACAAAGACATCCCACCCAAATCCAATTTCGTGGAATTTGAAAACTCAGACGGACTAAAAACAATAATTTCAGTTTTCTTTTCATTGAAAACTAAAAAATTTAATGAAAGCCAAGCCTTCACATCCGCCAAACATGCCATAAGAGACTCAAGACCCACAGAATTGCGTTTGACAGGCAAATAAACCTGGGTGTCATCCGTATAACAGTGAAATTACAAAACAAGTTTTCTAAAAATCGAGCCAAGAGGGAGCATATAGAGAGAAAAGACCAAAGGAGCCAAAATAGAACCCTGGGGAACCCCACAGGGCAAAAAAGCATTACTCGAGTAATGTTCACCCATCTTGACTGAAAAACTCCTATTTGCAAAATACGATTTAAACCAATCTAAAGCTACACCTCTTAAACCAACGCAATGTTCTAAACGATCAATGAGAACCGCATGATCGACTGTATCAAAAGCGGCCATTAAATCGAAAAGCACAAGGACTGCAAAATCACCCATATACAAATCACATATATAAATAAATAATGTCCAGTATATACTATAATCTTCTTCTTTGATGAAATGTGATCCAAGAAACCTTTTGTAAGGACAATGTTGGTGTCTGTGTTTATATTTCTGTCTTGTATTTCTAAGTGGCCGAGCCTCTCGCAGTCTGGTGTATTTCATCTGGCTCATTCATTAAGCTGTATTCCAGCAATGATACTTTCTTTAATATTCATATTCTGTTTGTCATTCCAGGACTGTGTGTTTGTGTGTGTGTGTGTGTGTGTGTGTTTCACACCTGTTTGAGACCCTCGCTGTGCTACAAGCCTCCCTGCACAGAGACACAACACCAGTAAACACACATCAGTGTCCCTCAGCAGGAGAGGACAAACAGAGAGAGAGAGAGAGAGAGAGAGAGAGAGAGATTAAATCACACTTCAATCATATTTAAATCATCATGGGACAATGACATGCAGGAAGCTTGTTCAATGTAATATTCTTTTTGTTACTGTTATAAGGAAAAACAAAAACTCATTGCAACATCAAACATTGCATTTTTGTTTATTATTGTCAGGCAAGTCTCTCTCTCTCTCTCTCTCTCTCTCTCTAACTCTCTAACTCTCTTTCTGTCTATCTCTCGGGTTTTGGGTCCACTCCAACTCTCTGACGCTTTCTGACAGTATGCTAATACATGCAAATGAGACTCCAGGCGAGCCAAGCGGCACCTGACCTGCAGAGACCGGGAGTGACCTGTGTGTGTGTTGCTGTGTGTACGAGTGTGTGTATGTGTGAGTGTGACCATGCCCCTTCTAACAGAGTGCACTTTGTAACCCACACCAGCCTTTTTGCTCGGAGCCCTGGGTATGCATAAGGACATCAGGACACCTACCACATTATATGCCTTTCATCTTAGCATGGCAACAATGCAGTAATTGTATGTGAAGGTCAGAATTGATTGCCTAGTTATGGAACCTGACTACAAATTAATAGTTCAGTAGATATATCAGATTCAGGAAAGATTAATTAACTTTATTTTTAAAGAAGGCATTGCTGCATATTATACACCTATACTATGTGAATTATGCTTTATAGTTCGAGACCTGCCATACATTCTACATCCACTAACCACTATAATTTTGTTTATCTATAAATATCTATAACTTTTCACTTTTCACCATGCATGAAAAATCACTTATAAAATCCAGCATGACCATAGCTGCTGAACGAATAACATGATTCTTGCAGATGGCCATCTCTCAGTCTTAAATATACAAAAAATGAGCAGCCATTAAGGTTAAATATGTAATATTGTATAGGAATGTAAGGAGGCTCTATATCCCATCAGTGAGTCTAACTTTAAAGGTTGCATGTGCTATCTTTGCTGCTGTATATCAAAGCCCACAATATAAATGTCAGTAACTTTATGTGTAAGCCTTGACAACGAAGCTGGGACATAATCTTGTTTTGGATTGTCAACTAAACTAAACTAAACTAAACTAAACTAAACTAAACTAAAAGAAACAGTGGTGCTAAATTGTTATTTCCATCCAAAGCAAATCCACATGGACTCCCTCTGCCCTTACAGCTCCTTGATAGTTTTAAAAAATGAGTTTTAATGGACATGAAATTACATGGCTGGCTACGTTTTTTTTCTCTCTCTCTTATGGCTCACTTTCTTAACGTAGAAGTGACAGCTGGCTAAAAGGAAAATGCATGTCCAGAAAATGTGATCAAAGGCAGTTAATGCTTAGACTGTGCTTGTTCTGACAGTCACGTCAAGGACACATCTTTGTCATTCAGAAGGCGTGGAGTAATGTTTTCAATATTTTGTACATACTGGGAATTGGATTTTATGAGTCTTGCTTGGTTAATAAAAATTTATATTACATTTGGTAGACACCCTTATCCAGAGCAACTTACATTTATCTCATTTTATACAACTGAGCAGTTGAAGGTTAAGGGCCTAGCATGGCAGTGCTGAGATTCGAAATCACAACCGTCTGATCAGTAGTCCGACATTTTAACCACTGAGCTACCACTGCATGCCTGCAAAACTTGAATGCTTCTCTAAATCATAAGGCATTATGTTGTTTCGTTTCTATTTTAGCTACTTTTAAATATTGATTTTAAAAAATCATGTTCATTACAGGTTTTTGATTTAGCAGCTATTTCAGTGTCTCCTGTGGGTGCAGATTGATAACCGTCACTGGTTTCTCTCAATGCCTGTAAACGAATTATTACATGTGCTAATTAAGTCGCTATCACCACTATAGAACAATTCCATCTATCTTGTCTATACAAATGTGCAGCCACGCCATAATTTGTAAAGTTGAGATTAATTTACATTGTGGCCCAGTTTAAGAGGACAGCCGCATTTATGAATTCTGCTGAGCATCATGCTTTGACCCTGCCGGCTGGTTTTGGCATTCCAGCAGGCTGGAGAAGAGAAGGTCTGACCCTGCTCCTCTCATCTCTCTCTCTCTCTCCTTCTCTTTGTCCTCCCTCACTTTCCCTCTCTCCCTCCCTGCAACTGCCCTTGGGCCGCTGGGTCTTCAGGTTTGTGCTGGTCAGCACAACGTCTGTCTGCCTTCTGGCTGAGTTCTGCTGTCAGTACAACTCCAGAGGGTGCGTGTGTGTGTGTGTGTGTGTGTGTGTGTAGTTTGGCATTGATGTCAGTTTGCCCCAGAAGAGAAAAGAGGTGTATATGTTTGGGGAGGGTGGAGTGGGGGGCATGGTGGAGTGTGAGAGGAGGTTGAAGTAAAGTGGCTCCAGTCCAGACCTTGTCTATAAATGACACACTCACACACATAAACCATTTGCCCTTTGCTGTCTCTGTCTCTGATGCGCAGCAGAGTGCACCAGGGAGAAAGAGGAGGGCAGGACAGCATCACTCACACTTACAGCATCACTCGTTCACACAAACATGTCCTCGTGCTCACTAACACACACACTACAGTCATGTCCTTTAAAAATAATAATGATTATAATAAAACAGTTTTGGTTTTATGTAAAAACACTACAGAAAATTAGATAATGGAAAAAAGTTATAATAATAATAATAATAGGAGAAATATTAATATAATTAGTACCATTTAATATAATATGATTTTGGCAATTAAATGTACTAATTGACTATGCTGTCTCTCCAGAATAACAGCACTATATTCTCCCCATTTTTTAATAATCACATGAAAAATCTAGCTTTTATCTAATGTGTGAAAAATCAACTTAATGAAAAATAAATTTTAAAAATCCATTAATAACCTATCATTTTTATTTATTATAGTAGGTTATGTTTAATTAAACTACATCAGTACAAATTATGTTTATAGTATTTGATTTCTACAACATGCTAACTGAAAATGTAAATTAAAAATATATGCAAGATGTTTTTTATTTACGTGTTAAAAACACTGAAAGCTCTCTAGACTTTTGCAGTGAGAGCAGAAAAATATCTTATAGCTTAAAGTTATATAAAAAAATCTTATAACTTATAGTTATTAAAACAACATAAAAAACCTACCTAGACGCCACAATTTCTACATGCATATTTATAATAATAAATAAAACAGAATTACTACGCTGAATAATTCATGTATTTACCTTGTTTATTTTTACAGTAGAAATGTGATATCTGGTCTTATGGTATCTTAGTATGGACGCACACACACACACACACACACACACACACACACATACACATCAAATGTTTACGATGCTCTTAAGTACTGTATTGTGCCTTTCTCCTACTGGTACTTATTGTATTTGCTTAGCTCTTATGGTGAAGTGAGATATATAGCTAATTCTGTTTGGGAATCACTTGTAGGGAAGTGAGATAGATGGTGTTTGCTAGGCTGCCTCCACTGGGTTCTTTATTTCTCTCTTTCTCTCTCTAGACCCTATTAATGAGATGGACCTCCGGGCTAAGCTCTTGGGGATTGGTTCATTATATGCTTTAGCCTAAGCAAAACTCTTTTGCTGTTGTCAAATTGGTACAATTTGACTGGCTTATGTAATATTGAGTCACTGATCATGTTACTGACATTTCAGGTGCAAATGAAATAATAATTAGATCAATTTTTCATGAATTCAGTAATAATGACAACGATGTGTAACATTCCTTATATAAATACACTGCAACCTCATAAAATATGGCTCTCTTCTTCATATTCTGTTCTCTAATATAGTGTGCAGAGTTCATTAAAACTCTTGATATTTACAAAATGATATCAAATTAAATCTAATGCTTACAGGACATATCTAAGGTCAAAAGAATCTAAGCTGTATCATTTCACTTCAACAATTTTAAACGACTTTGTATATTGTAAATAGACACAACCCAACAAGACATTAATAGTCTAATTAAGATGACTATTTTAATCAAGCTCAGTTACCACCTATTATGAAGATACTTGTTTTATATATAAACCTTTACACACACACACACACACACACACACAAATATATATGTATATATATATATATATATATATATATATATATATATATATATATATATATATATATA